AAGACCAATAGTAAAATTTAGTATTGTAGTGGAAAACATTGTTATCAGGGTGTGGCGTTCCGGTATCAGAGATGAATTAGTAATCACTATGCTTTGCTAAAGAGTCCTGAGTTGTTTTGAAAAATATGTTTTCAGCCAACACTATTAATTTTTCTATTATGAGTTAGGGAGTGACAGACTTTTTTTTTTTTTGGAATTCAACATTTCGTTATATTTAAAAGTATCCTAGTACTAGTGTTACGAGTCGCCTCACGTTATACTATACGGCGCTGAAAACATGTTTATTCGGGCTAAAAGTTTGTCTTTGACAGTTTTTCAATTGATTGACTCAGTACGTTGGGAGCGCTCGTCAAAGATGGACACCAGCAAGGAGAAAATTCGTTATATTTTACAATTTTTCTTCGATCAAGGCGAAAAAGCAGCCAAAGCGGCACAAAAGTTATTTGCTAGGTTCCGTTCCGGTAATTTCGATGTCAAAGATGCACCACGCGTCCGGAGGCCTGTCGTCGAAAATTGCGATAAAATCATGGAAATAGTAGAGCCAGACCGTCACGTGAGCACTTATTTCATTGCTGAGAAACTAAAGGTAAGCTAGAAAACCGTTTGGAACCATTTGCTTAACCTTGGATTCAAAAAGAGGCTCGATGTTTGGGTACCACACGAACTAACGCAAAAAACATAATGGATAGAATTTCCATCTGTGAATCGCTGCTGAATCGCAACAAAATCGACCCGTTTCTGAAGCGGATTGTGACAAAGAAAATTCGTAGTAGTGACATTTGTTCCGAAAATCACTACATCTACGCATCAGACTTCCTATAGGAGGGATCGGTCCAACGGATGCCGAGTTAACAGCCAAATGCTCTACGACTAAAACAATAACAGGCTTGTAATCTGTTGCTGTATATTAAATTTTTTATTAACCAGCAAATATTAAGCGTGATAATTTAGTGTGATTAGTGAGTTGTTTTGCAATCCGGTATACTTTCAGACATTAATTAGCTGAAAAGAGCAGAATTAAATATCGGGCTAAACTTCTACATTCCTTATTTTTTGCGACCTTACATGTATTTTTCACTGCGAAAGTAAAACTTAACGTATAAACTGCGTAATTTTAAATAAATACATCTTTGAAGAACTCACGAGTTTCCAAGTCCTTATCTGCTGGGATTTGCCAAAGAAGTGATATATGCAAATCTAATGATCGATTTTTGATCCTTTCTCTTTATATATTCATTATTTATTTTTTAATTTTTTTATGTTTGTGAATGGGATCAACCACACTATGAAATCATAAAACCAAACTCAGGCATAGACATCCTAAGTAAATAAGCCAACAACACAAACAATGTCACTAAAACTTTCAGTTGTGCAAACTAAAACACTAAAACCGCCATCACTCACCACAGCTAGCAAAAGGCACAACAAACAAGTGTGACAAAAACAATTGCCAAAGGAATTTAGAAGAAAAACTGTAAACATTCATCATTCATCCTTATGCTCATCAAGTCAACTCCAACAAGTCATGTCAGTCGCAGTCACCTCTGACCGCATTGAGTTTCACTGTGACAGTTAAGCGAAGCACATTCCGCTGAATCCTGGGGCACGACGAGCGCGTGCCAACAGCAAAACAGTTACGAGGTTTCCCATAAAATCTGTTTAATGTCAACACACCATTTAAAAGTGACAACTTGTCAGCTCAGTTGATGTCTTTCTTTACAAAAATGGGCGACGTGTACGCGACTTAACTTTTTTCTCTCGAAGAGTTTTTTTAAACGAGCGATGGATGTTTTTTCAGTCTCGTTTAAGTTGTTTTACAACTGTCCTCATTCATGCTCCTTAAAGTATTAATATTTCCTTTTTTTGTATTTGTGTGCGTCGTAAATAAACAGAGTTGGAGTATTGGTTCGTTTTGTTGTTGCCGTTGCAGTTTGAAATGTCAAATAATAGTAAAGTGATTGCAACTGTGTAAGGACGAATCTGATTACGAACGAATATTATTTCGTTTGATAGCAGGAAACTCTGAAAGGTTCCAGGAAATGTCCGGGTTTAATATTGTCTTGTATAAAAATGTCCACGCGTTAGTTGTGTAGAACTTCTTCTCTTCGGGCTGCCAATTTTTTACAATCTATAGGGTTTTGCAGAGATGGCAAGAAATGGTAGTCAGAGGCTTTGGGGCGCAGCACCTTTTCTATTGACCAATTTTAAAGACTTTTGTTTTGAAGAGCTATTAGTGAGCTGGTTGACAGTAAAGTCCAGAACTGATCGTTTCGCCAGACTATATCAGCTTATAATGAACGATTCCCATACAAACCCACCATCACTTTGACTATGATCTTTTCATTTTATATATTCATATTTAACCCATTTTTCACCAACCGTGATGAGTGGCATCAGAAGAGGTCCGTTTTTGTCGCTTTTGAAAAGTGTCTTTCTAAAGTTAATTCGTTCAATTACTTTTTTCCCCTATTAAGTCATGTGGCTCCCAATCCTTGAGTTTCTTTGAGCAGCTAGTTTTCCTTAAATTATTACAAACTTTTTTTTACTTGAGGTCGTCCACGCTTCTACATCATATAGCAGAACGGGTTGGATGACCGACTTGTAGAGTTAGGTTTTTGTTCGTCGAAAGGGGACTTTATTTTTCAATTGCCTACTCAGTTTGCGTTGGGCTGGCATTATTATTGGTGTTAAGGCTGGTCCATAGAGAGGCGAAACTATCAACGACTTCGAAGTTATTCAACAGTGACGTGGGGACACAGACTGCTTTATTTTCGTACACTATCATACCTATCCGTTTCGTTTCTTTGTTAAGCCTTGAGAAGACAGAACTCATGGCGCAGTTGTTAAGGCCTCTGACATCAATGTCCCGTCGTACGAAAGCTATTCTAAAATTTTTAAAAAATAGTATATAGACTATGTAGCTTTACAGCTGTTATTATTTTTTGCTACGGAATCGAGCAAATCACTTCTGGCTTTGGCATCTATTTGCAGCATTCTTACCATATAACCCAATATATCCCTTTAGATTGATCATAAAGATGCTACAAATTTCAAATAATTAATTTTTTTTTTCAATTTTCGTCGTTATTGATCGTTTCAAACATTATTTTAGTAAGAGAAAAATTTTTGTAAATAATTTGAATGAATGTAAGTGTTTTTGTAAGTTTTGTAAAGCTCTACAGTTGACTTAGGCGTAAACTACAATTACTGCTTACATTTTTTACATCACAAATGTACATTGAAATCTGCATATGTATGTATGTATTTGAATAAATAAAACTGACCTCATTTGTATTCCACCGATGTCGCTGTGACGGGAAACTGTCAGCTCTTGGCAAGCTTTCCAAATTGTCTGGAAGTTTGATAGGTTCGCCATCTGTAAAGGAAATTAAAATGACCAAAAAAGGGGATAAATTATTTTGGACTCTAAATTGCAACGTTTTCAAATGATACAGTATACATCTACATATATTTGTAAATAGAAAGACAGTCAAAAACAAATAGTAACCAAAAAAAAAATATATAAAAGACAAGAATACAAAATACAATACACACAAACATTCCGCTGAATTTGTAATAAAAAATCAATTTATTCAATATGAAATGTTTACATTAAGACACACTTAGAACAGGAAGGCAAAAAGAGGGAGAAGAAGGCAAGTACTTGACGGACGTGAAGTATTCACTTGGAAAATGTGCACATTAATAGAGCTGAACGGAAATTGTGTTCGACCTTCTCTATTACTAAACCTTTAATATTGATGAAGGAAAAATAAATAAAAAGGAAATCTTTTATACATTTTTCAAGAGCACAGCATTAATACTATAATTTTATATAAAGGGCTTTCCAATAGAGGTGATACGATTTCTAAGTGTCCTTCAGGTAATTTTTAATATATCATTTTTCTTAATTGTGTTTAGTGTTATTTATAGTCTTAGTACAGCAACACACACGCAAGAACCACGTTTACCAAAAACAACAACAATAACTTGAACATGATAACGGTTTTCTTAAGGTAATTATCTTCTTCGTTGAGGCTCACTTTCATCTGAGTAGCGCGGTAACTAACCAAACTTTCGATTTTGGTGCGAAGGAAATCCACAAATTATTCATGAACAACCATTACATATATAATTGGTGCTTTGTAACCGCTGAAGTGATTTTTCGCCGAGCTTCTCTTCTAATTTATGGTTTTGTGTCTTGATGGAGGGACAAAAGTCTTCCGAATGGCAGCACGCAATGCTTACCACTCGGCTACCGCGGCCGCCAATGAACAACCCTTACATTCACCTAAATTGACAGTTTGGTCTGATGGAAACATCGGACCGTACTTCTTTCGAAATGAAGCTGGTAACACCGTTACTGTCAATGTAGAGCGATATAGATCGATGATAATCAACTTGTTATAACCACAATTGGGAGAAGTTGACCTTAACAACATCTGGTCCAAGCAAGACGGGGCTATGTATCCGTCAAACAGCACGTGCAACAACCGATTTATTGCGAGCAAGGAATGGAGATCAGATTATTTCAAGAAAATTTGACATTGAATGGCTTTTAATAAGTTGTGATTTAACACCATTAGACTACTTATTGTGGGATTATTTGAAGTCATTGGTCTTTAGCAATAAATCACACGTGGTATTCCTGACAAACGACTTGATTTAGTAAAAAAAGTGCACAAAAGTTTGATTCATCGAATTCGTTTCTCCAAGAGAAGAAATGGCCTCCAAATTTGAATGATGTGTGTGTGTTTTTTTTTAAGAAATCATACAACTTTTATTGGAAAACAATTTATATATTTTAGTTAAGCGCGCTTAAGTAAGTATGGAACAAAATATTACATTCTCTGCAGTTTCCAAACCCTCAATCTCACTATACAAAAACTAATAAGCCCAACCTTATAGGTGGACTTCAACGCATTCTTTGTTAAAATTGTGTGGATGACTTTGGTTTGGCAGAAAAGTGACTCGTTGGATATATTTGCTTCCATGTTTTTTGTACTTTTTCAATTTTCATTAACTTGTAAGAAGGCGTGATTGACGATTAATTTTTCAAATAAAATATTTCATTTTTGGATGACATCCCCGGGATAAATAAAAAATATAATTTTCGAAGTAGAAGCGTAAAATCTTTCCACTTTATTTTCAAAGCCTTATCCTCATCAAAAATGGTGCTATTCTAATGATTTTGCAGGAATCGAAACAAATAATTCAATTGAGCTTTTACGTCGCATCAAAAAGATGAGAAGCCTGGGGGTTGTAGTATTGAGCTCGTATTTCGTTTCCGTCATCCCATGATTGTTTTTTAACTAAGTTTATGTTACATCCTAGTGCCTTTGCCGAAATGGATTTATAATAATAAATATCTAAATAAGGTTTTCTTTCTTTGATTGCCTATTTTCCAATATGCTTTTAACAATTTTTGTTGCCAAAATAACCTAAGGTTTAATCTTTAAAATAGTATAAAATAATTATTTTATATAAATGCTGACAACCCCTAGGTGAACAAACCTAACAGACAATGTGTACACAGTGCAATCGGGCATAATAACTCCTTCTATAATAACTAGAAGCTGATGATCTGCACGAATCTGTAGTAATTCAGGTGTAAATATTATTATGCATGCGAGTGGATGTTAAATTTTATTTATTGCACAAAATATAATATTAACATTGGCTTTTTCTTTATGAGTACCAGTATATACGGTATGAGTCTTTGTAAGCGTCATTTATCGCATTATTTGTAAGTTTTTTTCATAAACGAAATACTTATTAAAAAGTCAGGAAAAATGGTAAATTCACTTATTCACTTTTTTTTTTTTTAATAAAAAAACATTAATGATTTCTAATAAAAAGCATAATTCGGAACCACACAATAACATTAAAACGTATACAATCATTTGCTGTGTATTCCACTCTCAGACTTACGGAGTTGGGATGTTAGATCGCACCAATGCACAAGATCTTTAAATAAAACAAACTGTATCCTCCTTAACTACTGCATGTGAATGAATAAGATGTCTAGTAGGTAGTGAAGAAATAATTTCAATCCATACTCCAAGGCTTTTGGCATCTCTTGCTATCTCACTAGCTTACACTTAATCTCTCTTTTTCTTTCTTTGTCTCTTTCTGTCTCCTTCCTTCTCAGTCTCTTTTTCGCTTTCCCTCTCTCTTTTTCTCTTTCTCCATTCTTTTCTCTCCCTCATTCTGTTAACCCTCACCCTCTCTATCCTACCCTATCTTCCCCTCACCATCTCTCACCATCATCCTCTCTCCCCTTCACCCTCTCTTTCCAAAAATTCCGGTCACTACGTTTTGTTTGATTAATGCTTACACATTTTTGTGAGAGAGCCAAAATCGGTAAGAAAATCGGTTATTTTTTGAATTCCATCTTTTATCTTCCAAGAAAAAAATTAACAAAAACGTGAGCACCATTGTATTAAACAAAAGCCTTTAAAGCTATAAAGATATTTGTTTAAATATCCTATGGGTTTTTTTTTTTTGTGGTTTAAGATATTCATTAATGGATTTTCAGTCAATTTTTCCGGGATATGGTGCGAAATATATATTTTTTTTTGTAAATTTGCTCTGAAAAATTCAATAAATTCTTATGGTATCAATGCAAATAGTTATTAAACGCATATAAATATAGAAATATAAAGGCAAGAGATAATATAAATTTCTAGGCTGCATGTAAATCTATTTAAAATCCTATCAATATGCCTGTTCCAACGGTATAGAACAACAAATTTTCCGTAATTGTTTCTTTACGTTGTAAATTTACATTTATTTCGAAACTAAAGTGAAGAAAGTAAAATTGGTAAAAAATAATGTAGGGACATAAATCCACATATCTTTCCTGTCGCCGCTGAATCCGTATGCTAACTGTCTGAGAAAAAGGTCACCACAGTCACACCACCAAACTAATCATTTTACGAGTTCTCCTCAGAGCTGGCAACTTTTACAGCACAAAGAGGCAAATGAATAATTACTTCTTGCACTTACAGCAACCCATTCTTCTTTGCAACTTTCCATTTTAGTACTTAGACCAGCTTACTTACCGTTACAACACAATAACAACAAGATGTACGACGAAGTTTATTAAAATGTCAAATAACAAGAAATAGTAATAATTTTTTATAGAAAATATCGTATGAAAGAATGTATGTGTGAATGCATGTACGTATACATATACATACAAACATACGTAGGTAAGCAGTTAAGTTGTTAAGTATTGAATATAACTTGTGACCAAGTGTAATTTAGTAGCTACTGCTGGTTGAAGCAACGCCAAAAATACACGATGTTCTTATTATTATTTTTTATTGCTATTGTTGTTGTGGCAATGATAGCTCGTAAGTAAAACTAATATATCAAATCAATTTTTATGGTTGGCAATCATTGCGTTTTGGCCACACGCAGCTACAAAACTCCTGGCAAAAGTAGTGAGAAAAGACGCAGGGGAGAGGTGGAGATTATTTTGTGTGAGTAAAAAAGGATGGAATAAAATAGCGCATTGCTATTCGGAAGGCCTCGGTTCAAAGCCTGGGATGAAAAACATCCAAATTAACTGAAAATTAATTTAAATAAAAAACAAGTTAAATTTTCTAATAGCGATAGCGGCTGAGAATGTCAAGCCCTCCGAGTGTATTTCGGACATGAAATAAAGGTTCTTCATTAAAGAACCATCAGCCGCTCGAAGGCGGCTTAATATAAACTGTAGATCCCTCCATTTGTTGGAAAAACTTCAAGACGCAAAACCACAAATTGGAGAAGGAGCTCGGCCAAAAATCGCTACAGCGGTTACAAAGCGTCAATTTTTATATAAAAAAGGAGATAATTCAAAAAGTGCATTTAAACTAAATATTTGTAATTTTTACATTTGTATGAATGCATTAAGTAGTGTGAATGTTTATGTATACGAATATGTATGTGTACGCCGATCGCTTGGTTCGCCTCTCAATGCACTCATTGATGCCAAATTTATGCACTCTGTAAGCCTGTGTGTTATACTCAAATAATTTCAATAAACAACCAACACCGCTACTTTGCGAACGAAAAAAGCCATAAAAAACTTACGATAATCACTGCCAAGCAGCCAGAGCGTATACGTGATTTTTATTAGCCAGCAAAGGCGACAGACAGATAAGCACATACACACACCGACAAGCGAATAACCGACGCAACTGACACACCAGCACACCAGTGTCAGTGGCAAATGAGTGTGCTTGTGTCTATTTCTCACTCTTCCTTCTCTCTCTCTCTCTGCCTTGCTCTACCTATTTCCTCTTACTCCTGCTTCGTCTCAACTCGAGTCCATAGCTCCCCAAACGCTGCCACGGGCAAATGACTCCTGTTTATTGTGGCAATGTG